ATTTGAAAAACTATTACTAAACCGACTGAAGCCTATTCTAGAATATAGTGAAGTGATACCAAATCACCAGTTTGGCTTTCGCTGTTATCACTCTACTGTGCAACAGTGCCATCGGATAGTAGATGCTATCTCTATGACTTTTGAAAAAAAGGAATATTGCTCTGCCGTCTTTCTCGACATAGAGAAAGCATTTGATAGTGTCTGGCACAAGGGCCTATTATGGAAACTAAAACCGCACTTACCTTCCACTTATTTTTTAATTCTTCAATCCTACTTTCTTAATAGATTTTTCTGTATTTCCGTAGACTCTTCTGTATCTTCCTTCTTTCCCCAACACAAAGGCGTACCACAAGGTAGCGTCTTGAGCCCAATCCTCTATTCTATATACACTTCTGACATCCCTGAGCACCCTAATACCACCATTTATTGCTTCGCTGACGACACTGCTATTCTATCTTCACACAAAAATCCTACTATCGCATCAATTGCCCTACAAAACCATCTTCATTCTCTTGAAAAGTGGTTTGAAAACTGGAGAATCAAAATTAATAGTACAAAATCCACCCACATTAGTTTCTCTCTTAGGAAAGCCTCATGTCCACCCATAACGATTGCCAATAATCCAGTGCCTTCAAAGAACTATGTACGGTACCTTGGACTCTACTTAGACAAAAGGCTTACTTGGAACATACATACGAAATTAAAAAGACAAGAACTTACTAGACGATATAGCCAACTTTCACATCTTCTGGACTACAGATCTTCACTTAACTTACGAAACAAGCGACTTATCTACAACACCTTACTGAGACCAATATGGACATATGGAGCAGAACTTTGGGGTTCAGCAAAACAAACACACATAAACAAAATACAAACAGCACAATCAAAAATTATACGAAAAATTGTTAACGCACCTTGGTACATTTCAAACACTACTATACATACCGACTTAAACATCCCAACAGTAAAATCCTACATCCACGACAAATACACTACATTTCATTCTTCAACCCAAAATCACTCCAATCCTCAGGTTCTTTCTATCTCCTGCTCCCTGTTACCTGAGCAACGAAGATTAAGAAGAAAATGGCCAAGAGACCTACTACATCAATAAAAAAAAAAAAAAAAAAAAAAAAAATCAAGCAATTACACCAAGACAATAAAAATACAACAAATTTGCTAGATGCGCAGCTGCGCAGGTGCAAATTGCATAAAATAAAATAAATAAAAATAGTTTAATTGAAAACCTAGTAATTTTGGTGGTTTCGCGCGATTTGTAGGTTTCACAAAAATTGTTTGGTTCAAGCTGAATTTTTTTCTTTTAAGAAACTGTTTAACTTTTTACTGGGGATTGAGAAACAAATACTGCTTGAATGAGAAAAAAATAATAATTTTCAAAAACTTGTTCGATTTTTTATGAAGATTACGACTTAAAAAAACTATGAAAAACAAAATTTTTTTTCTTATGTATCACGGCTTAAAAGAAATCCTTAATAATTTTAATCACCATAATCCGGCTAAGAATAATTAAAAATATTTGAAATTATTTTAGTCTGTATGAATGTTCTAGCAATTTCTAGTTATGTATTAATCTATTCTATAATTGGACATTTTTATATCTGGAGATGCTCTCAAATTTAGTTTTAACTTTGTACATGAGAAAAATAAAGTTCGGTAGTAATTTGTTTCGAAAAATACTTCAAACCAAGAGAAATCAAAAACGTATATTACATCTTCGTCTTGGTTGTTTTAAAATTTTAATTTTGTCTACCTTAATGTTCCATATGTTTCCGATTTTTCCCAATCCAGATATCAATCCTTCCATAACAAACTCCAGAACCATTTGAACCCTCTCGTCTGAAAAGAAGATGGCCTCGTGATCTACTTATGTAAATATATTATTTGAGTGCTACCGATGGGTAGTTTCTCAACAAGCATTTTCATGTGATTGTATTATTACTGTGTGAACATTTACTAGTTGTATTTTTTTTTTATAATACAGTTGTAAATATCAATCAATAAAAAAAAAAATGTTTTCTACATAGATAAGAAATAAACTTTTTATTATTCTTTTAACTGTGCGTAATCATCGTTTATTTCCGTCGTATATTTCTTTGTGACGTTAAAACATGACTTCTAATGTTTAGTCCCACTAGATTTCCAATAGGCTGTGCATTGGCATAAAATAAAATAAAAATATTTTTATTTTATCTGTGACTGTAACACAGAAATAGTTTCCAACGAGTTATAATTGTTGAAAATATAATATCATTTACAGAATCGGAACCAAAGAATTCTACAAAATAATTTACTTCGTTAATTCGTATCTGCTAAATATTTACTTATCAATTTATAATTATAAAGCTGTAAAAGTATTCGAAGTATAATCCAAATGAAATTGAACAGCTTGTACCTGTTTAGAATTCAGTAGGTGGGACAGACGCTCTCCATGATATTGCCAAAAAAACAAAAACAAGGAGGACGTTGCAAATGTAATTCGGGGCGATGTTAAGAACGGTGGATGCAAATTTGGAAATCATTAACACCCCCTGGCGGCCGTTGAACAAACTAATCCAGGCCATTAATATTTCCCCCACTCCTCCCTCGATTAATTAGCCTTTCCTCTTCATTAAACATTTTATACATTCTCCATTCTACCCGCCTCTCTCTCGCTTTATTTTCTTCCATTTTTTTTTCTCCCTTTCGTCCTTCGGGGATATATTTTACATTTTTTTTTTTTTTTAATATCTTTATTATTTCATCGTTAGCCATTCAGGATGGAAAAATATTCCGCCGTTAATGAGACCCTCAGTTTTAGTATCGTGGGTCGTAAATATCCTCAATGATGAAGACGTTTAAACGAATTCATGCCCACACATTAACATCATTTAAATTATACGATGATTGTTAACGTCAAAATCAATTTTATGGATGCAACGTAAATGTCGACTGATAAGAAAAACCAGAAAACTTGATTTTTGTATAAAAAAAGTAATGAAAAATATGTAAAAATTAATAAACAATGATGAGAATAATAAAATCGAAATAAATAATATAAACGATGTGGGTCAGAAGTCAGTGGGTCAAATCAGGTAAAACTCCTATCATTGACTGAAATTCCTTTAATGTCTTAAAAATGAGTACATGCATGTTCTTTAGGCTTTGAACTACGACTATATCAGCCTTACAGTTGATAATACTCCAATTTTCAAGTCATTTTACTGATAATTCTATTTAGAAAATTTATAATATCTGTACGTTTACGTTAAGTTGATTTCAGAGTAGAATATATGTAATATACAACTATGAATAAGACATTTTATAAATAATAAGATATAAATTTTCCTACAATAAATATGACAAAAATGAAAATCAAAAATATTTCAATTTTAGTTAGTCATTCTACCAACTGAAATTCTCATATTATAGTAAGTTTTCAAGCGATTCTAAAACTTTTTAGTGAAAATAATTTTAATAAATATTTAGATGTTTTAAAATCTTATACTTTTCAATTATAATGCTATTTATCTTTCTTTTTTTTTAATATTATGTAATAAGTACGTTGCATTCAGAACTTTTAAAACAAAAATGAATAGAATCCGGATAACCAGTGTTATCAGGAATAGGAATTTTCATTTATTTTCAGAAATTCAAAAAATGAAAAAGTTATTGAATTAATTCTAGTAAGGCATTATTTAAACGTGAATCCCAAAAATGTCGTCCCATTTCTGCCAATTTTCGAAGTTATTAATGGTTGAATATTACTATTCATGTGGTGGAAAAATAAAATTTTTTTTTTCAAAATAATTATTAAATTTTTTTTTCCACTCACACCGGTCAGAGATACCAACTACCAGTGAGCTTGCTGTAGAATATGGAGAAAGGCATTGGCAGTCGTGAGGGAGAGTCCAGCGGCGTCCCTTCCTATCTTGATTTTAATATTTGTAGTTAGATGAGGAGATCCCTCTTAACCAATATCGTGTAGTAAAAATATTATTTTTTAATAAAATGAAATACAGTTTAATCGAATACAACTTAAAAAGTAATAAATAAGTTTAAAGCATTTTGAAGAAATAATACTACATTATTAATACATTAAAGTATGTTTCTTTGCCAGTAACTCTATTTATAATTTTTGTTTTAATACATTATATATGAATGAAATTGATTTATATACCTATATATGGAGAAGATGGGGGCTGGGTTAGCCTAGCGGGCTAAGGCGCTTGCAATAGGTAATTGATTGCAACAGGTAATCAAAGTTAAGCAACGCCGAGCGTAGACTTGAATGGGTGACCGTCCTTCAAGGAAAGCCCGAAATTCCTCCCTCCCCCCCTCCGGGTATGTGAGCCCCGTCAGCCTATTGGAGGCAACTCACACCGACCGGGAGTAGGATTGATGACCCTACCCCGTACTTTTAATCGGGATTCGGGATGTGGGCTAGGAGACCACACTCGCGGTCAAAGATCTTCATGGTCTGTAGCACCAACTGAAAAAAAAAAAAAAAAAATTGGAGAACATAATCTTATATCTAAGAAATAAGTTGAGCCTCATTTTTTTTTTTAAAACACTGAGGTGGAAGGAAATTTTCTAGTTTATCATTGTTTATTTAAATAAAAATAAGATTTGGTTTAGGTTGAAAAAGGAACTCGAAAACAAAATTAATAAAAAATAAAATTAAATGAAGAATTTCGCGTTATCCTTATAAACAAATGTACTTTTCTATTCAATTCAGTACTACAAATTACAAAGTGTCTGAACCTCTGTAAAATTATTTTTACCGGGAACAAACATCTCGGTAAAAATTTCAGGTCTAGAGCGTTTCATCTTATTTTGATACATCTGTTTTACATTTAAACATTTTTATAAAGATTTTTAATTTTAATGTAATGTACCTTCAAAGTCTAAAATGCATAAAAAAAAAAAAAAAAAATGAAAATAAATATTTTAATGATTCTTGACTTCCACAAGCCGTCATATTTTCTGTTTATCTTGAAATGACCCAAGATAGGAAGAATACTGTACTAATTCATCGATTTCTAATCAGCCTTTCGTCCTCAACCTTTCTGCTGACCTTATCAGATCCCCAGCCGCCCCTCACCCCCTCCCCTGAATCGATATTGGGATATTTAGTGGGCCGCGAGGTAATCATCCATTTCTTACAAAGGTGAGCGTTCGCTTAGCCCGCGATAATAGGCCCAGGTTCGACAGAACGAGAGCAGTTCAAGACCAGTAGTTCTTTCCTTCCAGAATGGTCATACCCGAAATGATGACCAACAACAGCAGTTAATTTATTTTCTTCTTTTTCATAACATTTACAACTGTTTTAAATAAAAATATATCTAGTTAATTGTGAAGATAGAAATAGGAATATTGTTAAAGGCATGAATAGAGTTGTTGAGAGACTAGCCATAGGTAGAAATCGAATATAATTTATACTTTAGGAGATCACGAGGCCATCTTCTTTTTAGGGACCAGAGAAGAAATTATCAGAGATCGAAAAGGAAGCAGGTTTAGGAAACGATAGGATTAGGATGGTTCTACCGATTTAGGTAAATTTGAAACATATGAAACATTATAATCTTTATGGATTATTTTATTTGTGACAAAGTAAGAAACATTCAGGATTTTACAGAAGATTTTGAATTGTAAGAATTCGGTACGAGTGGAATTCGAGAAATTTTGTGTAGTCCCAAAAATTAACTCTTGTAGATAAATAGGCCTTATTATGGTCATGTATGTGAGTGTTGGTACAACCAGAAACGTCGAGCAGTTTATTATCGTTTCAGTGTTGTCTTCGGATTCCAAATTCCAAAAAGACGTCTGTCTCAATGCAGTCCTAGGTAACGGGTATGTTCAACAGCTGTTCAACAGTGGAATATTTTTAAAGGATACTGTAGGATAAGAAGTCATAGCGTCATAGCATCTCCAAATGTAGAAATATATATAATTAAAAAAACCTAACTGTCGGGAATCTTCATCTAATGAGAATGTACCCGCATATCTACTTAAATCTTAGTATAATATAAAATTATGTTTTCCTGAAATCGTCCTAGTTCTTCTTTTCATCTACAATTTCTCCCTTCAGAATTCAGTATTCCCTACATCTTGGAAAAAAGCCATTGTCCTTCCTTTGAATAAAAATTCTAATCCGACCTCACCTGAAGATTTCCGTCCAATCTCAATTCTTTCCAACCTCTCAAAACCCCTAGAAAGATTGGTGCAATACCAAGTCTCCAACTTCCTCGAAAAGTCCAACCAACTTGATCCTCTCCAATCTGGTTTCCGTCCCAGCTAGTCCACACAATCTGCCTTAATTAAAATCACCAGCGACATTCAAACTGCAATAGATGATAAAAAGTTAACAATCCTTATCCTTCTCGACTTCTCCAAAACCTTTGATTCCATCAAACATTCCATCCTTTTCAACAAACTGAAATTATTATCCTTCTCTAATAGTTCCATCTCTTGGTTTCAATCTTTCCTTTCACAACGTACCCAAGCAGTCTCCACACCCAACCAACCACTATCTGCTTTCCTTTCTTTATCCTCTGGAGTTGTCCAGGATTCAAGCATATCTCCTCTCCTTTTCAGCTCCTACATTAACGACCTACCTAAATCAATTCTCCATTGTTCCCATCACCTTTATGCAGACGATTCACAGATGTACCTATCATTTTTCCCTCTTGAGTTACTGGGGGCATTTGCCAAGATCCAAAAAGACCTAGATCGAATCAGTGCCTGGGCAAATATAAATGGATTAAGGTTAAATGCTGCCAAAACTCAGGCCATTGTCATTGGTTCCAAGCCCCTCCTTAGATCCTATACAGACTTTCCCATCCTTCACCTTAATGATCAGCCAATCTGCTTCTACTCCTATGTTAAAAATTTAGAATTTTTCATTGATCAAAACCTGTTTTGGAATCACCATATTTCTCATATCACTCAACGGACAATTTCCACCCTCAAACTATTCCATCGCTTCCGCCATCTCCTACCTCAACATAAGCGTAGACTCCTAGTTTCCTCTCTCATTTTCCCCCACTTTGACTATAGCTGTGTGGTGTATGATGGCCTCTGTGTGGAGCTCCGTGATAGACTGAAAAGACTAATGAACAGCTGCATAAGATTTGTGATCGGGGCCCCAAGATACTCCCATGTTTCTCACCACTACGCTGAGTTAAAGTGGCTTTTCCCCTCCTTCCGAAGACAATATTTCCTAGGTACATTCCTCTACCAAATCATCAACAACCATCGTCCTTCTTACGCCTACAACCTTCTCCAGTTCAAATCCTCAGTCCATTCCCTGTCCACAAGATCTCGACCTTCTAACCTTTACATGCCTTCTCACAGATCTGCCTCATTCCAAAATTCCTTTATTGTTCGCTCTGTCAATTTCTGGAATTCCCTCCCTATCAAAATTCGACATTCCCCATCCATATCCACATTCAAAACCCTCCTATTCCAATTCCTATCCCAAAAACAGTCAGATAGTTGCTAACCATTCGAGCTGATTTTAATAGAGAATTTGATACATTTTTATTTTTTAATTCTTTATTTTTTTCGTAAAAGTGTATACTGGTCTATAAGAGCAAACAGCTTTAAGTGTCTTGTCATAGTATTAATGATTTTGTATATAGTTTAGTTTGTTTTGTATATAGAATTTTACCTTATATTTTTTTTTACATTATTTCTTTTTTTTTCGATTGATTTTATTTTGGCCAGATGAAATATATTAATTTTGTTCTATTTTGTTATTCTCAAGGAACTGTGTCCCAGAATAAAGTTATTTTTCTATTTCTATTTCTATTTCTATAATTGGGTGTACATCCTTTTCACTGCCGATATCCCTCCAAATCCCGATACCTTCCTATTTACATTTGCTGATGATACTGCCATTCTATCTTCCCACTCAGATCCTCAAATAGCATCTCAAAACCTACAATCTCACCTCTCCTTGATTGAGCAGTGGTGCAACGACTGGCGCATTAAAATCAATGAAGCAAAATGTAAACATATTACTTTCACTCTGCGACGCAGATCCTGTCCCACAATCCTTTTCAATTCAATACCACTTCCCTACTCAGATACAGTCCGTTACCTTGGCTTCCTTCTAGACAAAAGACTAACTTGGAACCCACATACGAGACTTAAAAGACAAGAACTTAACCAACGATATGGCCAGCTATATAGACTACTAAGCAGGACATCTCATCTTTCGATTGAAAATAAACTTTTAATCTACAAGACAATACTGAAACCTATCTGGACCTACGGACTTGAACTGTGGGGAACTGCTAAACATTCGAATATCAAACGCATCCAATCCTTCCAGTCCAAAGTACTTAGAACAATAGCCAATGCCCCATATTATGTCACAAATAAGACCCTACACCATGACCTTAACATCCCTTTTGTCCTCGACATCATCCCATCCAGATTCTCAAACTTTCACCAGAACCTTATCCATCATCCAAATCCTCTAGCTCAATCCCTATCCAGCTCCCACCATCCCTACAATCCCCCTCGAAGGTTAAAACGGCAGTGGCCGCGAGATCTATTGTAAATATGCTTCTGGAGTCCTGGCAATGGCCAGCTTCTCCACTCAAGTCCTGAGCATCTGTGGCTCTAGTGCCCTCCTTCAGCCTCCACTGGCTTTTAATACTAGTGATGCGGCTGGAAAAGTGGCACTGGGATCTCTGGAGTCCTGCTTTGCTTTCCACATGTGGGGAGAAAAGGCTGGCTCGGAGATTCCTGGGCGAATGTATATAGGTATGAATGTGTTTAGAAGTTTTTATTTTATTTTGTTTATTTATTTTTTTTATTTTATTTTATTTTTTTTTCTATTGATTTACATTTTTTTTATAAGTATTATTTATTTACTTTTATATTTATAGTTACTTCTGTATTACTTGTATATACTGTATGAATGAGAACTTTTAGCCTTAATACTTATAGCCCTCCAACAGTGGCTGATTGTATTATTATTCAATAAAAAAAAAAAAAAAAAAAAAAAAAAAAAAAGTGTATTAAAAAAAATGGCCGTTTTATCAACTCCAAGATTTAAAAAGACTGTAAATATTTTAATCCTATGTAATACTTACCAATATTTAATAATCTCTTTAGAGCATTTTCTAGGCTTGTTTAATCTGATTCGACTTTTCGAAAAAAAGCCACAGTTCAGTTATTTGTTCCAAAGAAGAAAAAAAAAATTCACAGCCGTTGAAGAAACTCCTGAAATTATTAAATATAAAGAAAAAGGCTTCCTTTTCCAGCGCACTACGCGGAGTTGGCTTGAAAAATTTATCAGAGGAGATACGACGTTAGAAAGCAGGGCTACGGGCAACCATTAATAGATATTGATGAGATTCTGCAGGAAGCTGTTGAGTCAAATCCGTCCACGAGCGCTCGCGAACTTGCCAGGGAGTGTGGTGTGTTGAAAGATATTGTTAGTTGCCATCTACTTTCCATGGGGAAAATGAAAAAGAGCAGTAGACTGGTCCATCATGAACTTACTCCCCATCAATCAGTTAAGAAGTTAGAGATTTGTGAAAATTAATCGTGTCATTCTAATATGACACTCCTGGCTCATCCACCATGTAGTCCAGACCTCACACCACAGGATTACTAATTATCCATGGCCCATTTTCTTCAAGAGAAAAAATTTGATAATTTTTCGGAAGTTGAAATTTTGGTTTAAGAATTCTTTGACAGTTATCCCAAAGAATGGTATCAACGTGGGATCGAGCAATTGGCTAGCAGATAGCTAATGACGGTAGACAACAATGGACTATATTTTGGGTATTAATTGTATTTTATAACAAAGAAATATTTATTTATTTATTTGTTTTTTCCACGGCGTTTTCGTTGTCACTAAGGTTTTCTTTTAGGCTCTGAGCTTTATCCAGATTTTTCTTATATTCTTAAATACCGGGCACTCTTGGATGATGTGTTGGACTGTTCTTTGCACCTTACAGCTCTCGCAGGTCGGTGGGTCTAGTCCTCTTAGTAAGTAGACATGTGAAAACTCACAATGCCCAATTCTTAAGCGGCAGAGGACTGTCTCTTCTTTTCTGGAGAGTCGGTTGCTAGTTTTCCATTTGGAACAGTGGCTTTTTATTCCTTTTAATTTGGTTTCTTTCTGTTGCCATACGTTCTGCCACATTACCCGCAATTTTTTTTTATATGCTGTATAAAATCTTCTATCGGGATTTCGTTAATTATAGCTGTTGGATTTCTATCTAGCCTTCTCGCCATATTTGCTGCTTTGTCTGCCTGTTCATTTCCGACAATTCCGCAGTGTGAAGGGACCCACATGAATATTATTTCCTTTCCCTTTTATGTTAGTGTTAAAGAAATAATTATACAAATGGTTTATTATTATTACACCGTGGTTTATTATTTTTAAATAATTATACACCAGAAGTAACATTACTTTCTTTGTAACATAAAGGAATATAAATAAAAGGTTATTTGTAATAATGACTTAATTTTTTTTTTCATTATAAGTAGTTTGCCAAGAAAAATATACAACACTGCTGTCCAGTTGATTCGACAATTTTCAAAAATCAAGCAAATAAAAATTGGTTAAAAATATGATAACACCAATGTCTAGAATTATTTATATATAATAGAGTGTATAAAAAATAATTTTCAATCAAATATTTGTATCAAATAAATAATAATACAAATATTTGATTGAAAATTATTTTGGATACACTCTATTATATATAAATAATTCTAGACATTGTTATCATATTTTTTTAAATCAACTGGAGCAGTGTTGTCTATTTCAGATATTAGAAAGTCAATATTAGAAATAAACTTTTATTTATATTCCTTTATGTTACAAAGAAAGTAATGTTACTTGTGGTGTATAATTATTTAAAAATAATAAACCATTGTGTAATAATTTGTAGCGTTTTTACATGGAAATCGATACTTATTTCAACTTCCATAAAAATCGATTAGTATTCACCTTGGAAACAAGCGACTCAAATGGCAGGTGGATAGTCTTGCACTTACATCTTCGCCTACTCAATGACCTGTAAGATCTATTACAGTCAGAGATTCCAGCAGAGGACATCCGAAAGGAGACTTCCAGAATGGATAACAAGCCCTCGAAGCTCTCCTCCAGATTTATGTTGCTCACATCGGGACAATATTAATAGGACTCCAGCGAGGTGCGCTATTATCCATTGTCTGATCGAGGGCATTAACATAGGGTGGGTGTAGTCACTCATTAGAGGTTCTGACTAATGTATAGTTCGTCGGTATTGAAATTCTACGTGCCTTCGGTGTAGGAGGACTCGGGTCAAAGGGCGCCTTTCCGCTCTCGGGCAGCGGGTTCCAGGTCAAGGAGTTGGTTGCGAGATCGGACTATGGTACGATGCCAAGGAAGAATAACACCTAAAGGTATTTGAAAATAAAGTATTTCGTATAATATTTGGTCTATGTATGTTTTGAATATTTTAAAGAATTCAGAGAGCTGTACGCCTTAACATAATAAGCAGTAGTGGATCCAGGATTTAATTCTGGCGAGTTTTTTATTATTTTTTAAAAATTATTATTACTCTGAAAGAGAAAGAAAGAAAAAAATAACTTGAAATTCTGCGTGAAGAAAAAAAAAAAAAGTTCTCCAAGTAAGGTCAGTATAGCTTCCTCACCGTTTTCATAGGCTAAAAAATATCTATAATAAAAGGTCTAAAAATTTTCTTATGAGAATAAAATCAAATACTGGCTTGATATCCACGAGTTTTGTTTATCAGCAAATACTAAAAGTTCCGCTTTTTAGATTGCATATTTGATAATTCGTAATAATAAAAAAAAAATTCCAGTGCACACTGAATATTTATCTCGCTACTGTTAGTACAAATAATGTATGTAAAGATTTATGGTTTTACAGGAGAGCATAAAAACTAATTATTTCTTTATGATTTATGAGTATAATTTCATATTTTATTTCCCTCTGCTATTTTTCATAGTTGTAGATTACTTATATCAAAAGCAGACTACATAATTTCAAAAATCGAAAACGTTTACGAACGACATTTGCACTAACATTAGTGATATCTACTTAATAGATATGATTTCTCACGTAAAATGGATCCAACCTGCATAATCTCTGAAATTTTCATGAAAATCCGATATACGGTACTAGAAGTCAGACAGACACCGAACCAAATTTGATTCTTGATCTCTGAAACGTAAAAAGCGAGTGGAAATTTTCGATTCTGAGCACATGTTGTTTTTTAACCTCTAGCACGAATAGAATGCTTCCCTACCTTCGGTAGTGAGAAAGCAAAAGTTCTTACATTAAAACGGTTTAAATTATTTCCAAACCGTTATACATAATATGTGACAATACATTTCTTATCATATAGAGGAAAATAAATAAAAGGTGATTTCTTATATAGGACTGAATAAGGTTTTCGTTTTCATCATTAGTTATTTTCTAAGAAATTACAACACAATCTCGATTGTATTAGGTAATAAAAGAATTTTCAAAAACAAATATTATCAGCTTTGTATCAGAACGTGAAGAAAATATTTAAATCAACATCTCTTTGCACCAAATCGTCCAACTTCAAGGATTTTTTTTTTGAAATTTCATAAAAAAAGTATATACTTTTTGACTTATTCGAAAATTTAATTTTACCGCCTTTCGTAACTTTATTCCCAGTTTCATTCTGGCGAAGTAAGTTAAATAGATAACTTTAAAAGGCTACGAAAAGGAGACTTTGGCCAAGTTTAATTAAAATCGGTACATTCGTTTAGGCGCTATAGTCTATTGCGAAAACATGTTTTAATCTCCGTCTTGAAAAAAAGAACGAATGGTAATACGGTGTTCCGAGGTTCATCTTAGGATGAATTTTGACATTGAAATTGATTTTCAAAACTGGTCGATTCCAAACGTTACTGGCATGACACTTACTGCCTTGACTTTGATGTAATGTAATTTTAATTAATTTTTACTCTGAATTTGTCAAAAAAAAAAAAATGTATTTGTGATTGTGTTAGTTACTATTGAAGTTAAACCAGCTCGTCGTAGTTTAGATTTCCTCTTTAAAAATCCAAGTGGTGTGAACTTCAGTCTATATTTATATTCCCACTTAGATTAGTTTTGTTCCGACTAAATGAAAATATACATCTCGTTAACTTCTAAAAAAAAAATATATTTTTGTAAATTTTTTTAATGGATATTTTTTGCCGCCCATTTTACCAGTGAAAACATACCTATTAAGTATATATTGCTACTGTTAGTGCAAAAGGTTATATGTAAAAATATTCCATTTTTATTCTTTTCATACTACAGGTGACATTTCTTAGTATGCCACTGGTATCCTGGTACTATAGAAAATATCAGTAAAACACTAATAAATCATGACGAAATGATTAGTTTTTATGTAAAACGCTCAATTTTTGCATTTGACGTTTTTCACTAACACTAGCGGTATTGATGTCAGTATGTGCTGAGATTTGGTTTTTAATCACGCTTCATCAAATACGAGATTTGCAATTGTAGAACTCTTCTTTATTTTAGTATTCGCCGATGAACAAAATTCCTGGATGTCAATACTGTTAAAGGATTACTGTCTTTTCGAAAAAGGTTTCTCTCGGAAATTTTATTCTCGTATGAGAAACTATAGACTTTGAAATATAGATATTGTTTAGTTAATGAAAAGAAGCTATAGTGACCTTACTTACTTGGCTAAGGTTTTTAAAAAAAAATTATTTTTGATTCAGTATCTCACTGAATTGTAAATTTTATATTTTTTCCTTGATTCATTGATATAGTTTTTATTTCGGTTCCAATCTGTGAATATTGAAACGTTCTGGTGATATAATTGGACCTGATATTCAATGATATACATTCGCTGATTTGACAAAGGAACGTCAAAGTGGTTCAATATTTGATTATATAGATTTAAATTATGAGGTTTAGTAGAACTTTTTATTTATTAAATGTTCATGATATCGGTTCCAAAACTTTGGGTTTCGTATAACTAAAAATAAGTAAATAGTAATATTATTATTTATATATTTTCAACAAATTTTTCCTGAAGATAATTTTGTGGAAATTAATTTCTATTATCAGGGGCGATAAAGATAACAATGACCAAAGGGTCGCGTGGACATGGAATAGGACTTTCCGTGTCGGGGTTCGGGTCCAACGCACGCTAAATAAAAATCACTCCACGCTATAGCCGTACATCCGCCGCTGAATTTTGACTAACAAGCCTACTTTTTTAACAAGTCTATTTATAAATATAAAGCATAATCTTTCCTTTATTTAATCATACATACAATCTCTACTGGCACAGTTTGAATATGATTTAATGATTGTACTTGAATCCTCATGTACGATTAATTTTGAATTTATACCTTACCATTACATAAAATACTTATAAACGATGTTCTGCCGTAAGTTGAGGGAATTATCTAAAGAGGTGATAAGCAATCTCAAGAGCTAAAAATAATTTTATACAAACATTGGTTCGATTTTTTCATCACAAATGTAAGAAGTTCATTTTTTTTTAATGTCAGGTTTTTTGTTGAAAAAGGAAATTATAACTAGAAAAATATCTAATTTAAGTAACAAACAATTATTTCACAGTAAGCTAGATAAAATTTACTTCAAAAGAAAGGTTTTTTTTTTATTTTTAATGCCATTTAAAAGTCCTTCGAATAATAGTTGATGCTACATTCTATGAAACCAACAAAACCCAAACCATGAACTTAATACCCCATTTGTCTTAGACCTTATCCCACAAAAAATCTCTAAATATCACCAGAACCTTACTATCATCCAAATCCATTTCAACAATCACTATCCAACACAACCCATCCTTAAAACCTCCTCGAAGGTTGAAGCGGCAGTGGCCCAGAGACTTTCTGTGAATAAGCAGATATTAGACAAATTAAACAAATTATGTGTGATTATAGCGCCTCTCCTCAGCCTCTGTGGATTCTTAATACCAGTAATGCGGCTAAGTGAGAGACACTGGGATCTTCTAGAGTCCTGCCTTTCCTTCCACGAGTGAGGAGAAAGGCTTGGTTAGCTCGTAGATCTTGAGTAAATGATCTTTTTTTTTTAGATATTGTATAGAAGCATGTGTATATGTGGATAGTTATTTTCATTGGTTTACTTTCTTTTTGTTTTGTTTAGTTTATATAAATTTTACTTTTACTATTATTATTTTTTTTTATTATTTATTAGTAGTACTGACCCGGCTAAGAATCGGACATACTAGGCTTACCCACGATTATTTAATGAGAAAAGACTCCTACTCCATGTATTTCCTGCGAGTACCTCTCACAGTGAACCATATCGTAACAAAATGTTATGCATTCCAATCTCTTAGATATCAACATTTTTTCGGAAATAGCCTTCAAGAATCACTCCAAAAGGACCACAATGCTATTAAAAATTAATCATGTTTCTTAAGGAAATCAAAATATTTCACAAAATTTAATCACATTTTATAATTGTAACTATACCTCTTACATTTATCAGTTTGTAAGTTCCTCTTCAAATTGTAAATATACCTAATTTTTAATTATAATAGTTTTTCAATTTCTCTTCTTTTAATTTTTAATATTTACATTGTAGTTTTTAACTTTTCTTCTTTTAATATTAATTTTAATTTTAAACTGTATTTTTAGATTATATCTCTGAAATCATTAACCTTCTATTTAAATTTCCTTGTTAACTCTTAACTTATCTTTTTCTTATCTTTAATATTTAATTTTAATGGTTATTGTATGGTTTAATATTTACACGGTACTCTTTAACTTCCATACGATTAATATTAATTTTTATTATTTGCAAATGTATTTTTTAGCTTTTGTTCTTAAATCACTGACCTTTATTTTTATTGTCTTTGTTGACTCATCTCCTTTTAAATCTTTAACTTTCAATTTTTAGAACTTTAATTCAATTGTATAATCATATTCATCTGTAACTATTCCAAACTTTTAAAACTTTAAATTGTATTTGTTAGCTATACTTTTGTTATGTGTGTAGTAATTGATCAAATTGTAGTTGAAGAGCCAAAACATTTATAAATAAATAAATTTATTTGTATTTATTGTTGATAGAGTGTGAATGTGCTCTCTGGACACTACATTAAATGTCCTTAATTGTGACAGATTGTAGTATCTTTAAATAAATATGGTAAAAAAAAAAAAAAAAAATTAAAGAGTACTTTTGAACAGCTAAACAAAGCTTAGTTTCGTTTAAAAATATAAAGTATTTGCGATTTTTCTAAAATAAATTTGAACCTATAAAACTAATAACCCACTTTCGAAAAATTCTCTTAGACCATTATGCGTCGTAGTGTAAATTTGACTTGCCATAGTTAAGTTTTATTTTAAATTTCTTCCACCATTCATTTGTTTTATCT